TTGAAGAGGGGTAGTGTCACAGTTTTCTCGTGCCACGTGACCTAGGGGTCATGTGAACCAGGACAGACGCTCACCTTGACCACGGGCAACTCGTATCGGAAAGTGGAGGAGCCAGGATCGAACCCAGGACCTTGTGGGGTCCAGGAGCGCCCATCCTCACTCACTGGCAGGTGACTCACACGTCAGCGGGGGCGCTTACTCATCGGAGCAAGCCCGGACTTAGCATGACTCAGGTATTAGTCACGAGGACACCATGTGACAGGTCAGGAGGCAGGACATGAGTCAGCAGACTCTGACCAAGCAGGGACAAATAGGTACCTGGTCTGTGCACCGTTGTATTTGTATAAATAGTAGGGGGTCTGAGGCAGGGAACCTCAGACTTGATCTTCTCGTCGATCCCCCATCTCCTCTGTAGGTAGCTAGCAGCCCTACCTCTCACTGCCCCTTCTAGTCTAGGGAATCTACATTTTTGCATCATCTCTTGCTGTGTCACTTGTGGTTGCTTCGCTCTCAGCACCAACCCCTTCACCAGTAAGCTTTGTCTTTGTTTATCTGGTGGCACAGCTCGTTGGCTGTGACAGGAGCACAATGCCCATCCCGTGGAACACCCTGGCGAACGGGCACCGAGGGCATGGCAGGCGGAGCTCGCCGTACCGCAATCAGATGCAGACGCTCTTCCAAGCGTTCGAGGAGGATGGGGACGAGGACCGCGCAGATGGGATGGGGCTGGACACGCTGCACGAGGTGAAGGACGACGAGCTCGATGCGGACGAGAGGACGACGCTGAGGAAGGGGAGGAGCTGGACTTCGGCCGTCATGTAGCTAGCACAATGTAATCTACTAACGCATCACTTTCAGTATGCTGAACCGTGTGGCTCAACTGTATCAGTTTCGTTTCTCTACCTATTGGTTTTCTCCTAACGAGTACCTTACCTTGTTGCGCGAATACGTGAGGTCATGGAAGCTCGAGCGTATATTGCGCTATCATGCAATCTCTCCGCAAGTCTTGCCCGGTATTGTGAGTATGGTGTGGACAAGCCCCCTTGGCTCCCTTATCGAGTGCTCGCGCCGTCTCGCGCCGTAACCGGCGCTTCAGGCGCCACCTACAATCCTGGACGACACTTTTACACTTTTGCTGATGTAATCCGCCCCCTCACCCTGACCATCAGGGTCACCCATAGTAGTGTCATCATTGTCAGCCTGCATTAGAACCTCATGCACAAGACTCTGAATAGAAAGTACGTACACCGCAAGTCCCAGATCTCCCGAGTTGCACTCCTCAACAGCTCTCGACCGGTTCCTCTTCTGCTGATGCCAGATATGCAGCTTTTTGTGGTCAGACGGGAACAAGACAGAGCACAGAAAGGTGAACGAGTTCGGACAGATGGAGATCGACACTGCATCCAGGGCTGAGTTGCAATGAAAGAACTCGGCAAGCTTGGAGAAGGCTTAGGATATCAAGCAAGAGCAACATCGGGCTGCATGTTGACAGGAGCATGGTGGTGCATTGCATAAATCGCAAAGTCGCCAGGCGTGGCGCTGAGGAGGAGCACCGTTGGATTACAAAGCAGGATCACGTGCTCGCAGCTGCGAACTCTTGCTCACGCATCATTCCAGATAAGCACTCAATCAGTATTCCTCCGTTTTCTACTTGTGAAAAATGTATGTACTTCATCAGGCATGTCGCAGTAATCCTCAAACAGCCGCCAACAAGTAACATTCAGTCGGAAAACCGACCCGTAGCTTTCAGTACCCATTTCCATGTCACCCGGCGCTCCCCCGCGCACATGCGGAAACCAGGGCGTTCACCAGGGCGCCGGGTGAATGCAGGTCCCCGCGGACTTCACAGTGTCTGGTCACACCTCCTTTGTGCGCCGCAACTCCCTTCCTCTTTCCCTTGGGATGAGAGGCAGGCTCATGGGGCATGGCTGGTCTTTTCGACCAGGAGAGTGAGTGTGCTAAAAATCGTAGACATTATCTGGCAGAGAGGTGGGAAGAGCCTCCAAGTGAGTTCGTAGTCGAGTGAGGCGAGCCGACAGATCTTCACGAGAAAAAATTCTGACAGCGGAAGCATTGCCAGGTCTGTCAGAGGTAGGGAATATTATAGCTGAGAAGTTCGAGAGCCTACATTGCACTACACTATACATCACTGCCGATCCATCCCTCTCAGTACTTATAATCGCCCTGGACGATCTCGCATCTGCTCAGTGTTCAACGTTCAGTACCGCACACCGCCTACCAACGAGACTCGCAATACCGCTATCTCTTGTTGACGAGATCTGGCCGACGTCCGACAACTGTCTCCGCAACACGTTCTGGTGTGGATCTGCAGCGCAGTCCGTTATCGAGGCTCTGGAGACTCGATTTATCTGCATCCTCTCCCAGCATCCGCCTCGAGGTGGTCCCCACGGGAAATCGACGGGGCGAAAGAAGCAAAGAAGGCACCTTGTGCTGCAGCTGTCAGCGCCCGTCGCAGAAGGCGTAGCGCTATGGTAAGGGTAAGTACCCACGAGCGAGGCGGTTCACACCCCCAGATCCCCTGTCCCCCTCACCTTCAGCACAATCGCCATCCTACCCTGCGCGATCATACCTCTTGCCATCTCAAAATGACTCCATCCATCTGGATCAACTTTGGCACCGAGACGTCGTCCAGCTCCTATGCGGACTGGGTGGGTGTTCCCGGGAGCCCTGGCTCGTCCAACCAGGCCCTCATGAGCCTCGACGACGTGCCGGATTTCGATAAGGACGTCGACGACGCGCTCGAGTTCAACTTCGACCACCCCATCGGTGCCCAGTTAGATGGCGCGAACGACTGGCACAGAATTCTCTTCAACTCGGCGCTGCCGTTCCCACTGGCGCTCACCGACGACGCGTCGTCGACTATGGACACAGTACACCAGCCGCTCTCTCCCGTCTCTGACGGAACACTTGTAAATTCTCCTTCCTTGTCGCCGATCCCGGACTTGAAGCTGCCCCCACAGGGAGACCAGCATGTCGACCACATGCTGCCGTCTTCCTCCGAGTCCTCCCCCTTCGATGGGTTCCAGTTCGATTTCACGTTTGAAATCCATGGCCAGGTGACTGTCATGCCACTGCCAGCATCTTCTTACGGGCTCTCAGCGGGGTACGACGCTCCCGTATATGACTATGACGGCTTCTGGCCGGGGTATCCGCTCGTGCAGCACACGGTCGGTGCTGCGGGCGCTGGTGTTACAGGCCTGGCGACGGGCATGGGCCTGAACGTGGACTCGGCCGCGTCCAGCTTCATGGCCCCGAGCCTTCCTCCGTGTTCCTCTCCACCATCGTCCCCGGTGGACGAGAAGGACGAGATGATCATCGTGGATGAGAAGGCCGCAGAGGTCAACGAGGAGAAGGACGCACCTGTCGTAAAGAAGGCCGCCCGCGCGACGCGCATGAAGCGCCGCACCGACAGTGACGACGGCTACTCGTCGGGCGACTCCCACAACAGCGACGAGTCTGCACCGAAGAGGAAGCGGCGCAAGCAGGACACGACCAAGCGCTTCCTATGCCCGTTCGAGGGCTGCGGGCAGGGTAAGTGCGCCACCTTGTCGTCGACGCGGTGATTGATCGTTCTTCGCAGCGTTCTCTCGAACGCATAACCTTAAGCAGCACACGGCTAGTGTCCACGAGGGCAAGCGCCCATACGGCTGCCGCGAGCTTGGATGCGAGCGGTCCTTCAGCAGGAAACACGACCTGACGCGACACCACCAGTCTGAGCACACTGATTTGGGGTCCCCGCGCAACGCCGGCAACGCCAAGAAAGGCAACACCAAGAAAGGCAACGCCAACAAGAAGAGCAAGACGATCGCTAAGGACGAGCACGACTAGTAGGCCGGGCAGTGTGATTCACGGTGAGCATCTCTTCCATCGCGTTGTCCCGGCGTCGCGCAACGGCCTGAACCGAGTGCTGACTCGTCGTCTACAGGCTTCCGCCGGATCGCGCTCAGCAGCATTATATCATCTCTCGAATCGGCTGCCCTGCACGAGCATTCAGCACAAGCGCTGACAGCCCGTTGTGGCGGTCGATTCATTTTTGAGGGTTGGTATATCGCTGATGACCGAGGACGGGCAGGTGCGTCTTCGTACGGGAACGGCTCCAGGGTCCGGTGCTCTGGAGGACCGCTTCCCGCGAAGAGGTATCTGCATGGGCTCTTAGAATCGGATTTTCTTGCACGTGTTTCGTGGTACGGATAGTGTCGTATATGTTTCTTGCGTTTGTGTCTTGTCTGGATCTAGCTATCGCCGCCGTGTTCTATTTACCATCTCCCCTCCATTCCCATCTACTACAATATCGATGTCTCATGTACGATAGAACGTGTTGGTTCTTGGCACCGATTCCGTGATCTCGTTGGCTACGTATATACTCCTGTGCTCTACCTCGCTCTCCGCGTTCGCTATCTCGTGTTCATGTACGGTGTTGGTCTTCCCCCAGTGTATATGTGATGTTATCTTGTTTCTGTATACTCGACGGTATATCGTACGAGAGTCTGCCGATGGTTCCGGTGCCGCGGTCGGGCGCGCTCAGACGTGCTCGGCTTGGTCGGGCGCCTTCTGCCGCGACGCCAAAGCTCGAGGTCGTTTACAACGTTGACCACGAACGTCCACCTCGCGATACCCTCCGTTCGACCTCTCCTCTTTGCTTGTCGGTGCATTGCCCTGAAGGCTACACTGGCCCGTACGGCCTCTCAGAGTGGCTTCTATCGTCGGTTACCGCAGCAGTAATGGCGTCACTCGTTCTCGTATTCAAGCAACCCCGGACCTGGATCCCGGAGAGTCTGGCCTCTCCGTTCAAGATCTTCGACCAAGAACACCGCGCGAGATGGGTCGGCTCTCCGTCTAAGCGGCTTCTGTCTGGATTTCTCGCGGGATATCTCTCTGGGCCTGGTGCGCTGACGGTAGTCCTTACGCTCGTCTCTGGGGTCTTTCTGGGCTTCTTTGTCTTGTGGGTGCTGGAGGTTGTGCATGAGAACGGAAATTGTTACGGTGAGTGTTCTACGACACCTACTGTATCCGCTTTTCCAAAGAACACACGTTTCGTCCATTCAGAGGCTGTTGACCTCGAGCAGGACTACGAGGTCTCCGCCAGCGGCTCTGAGGATCACACTGCGCCATCGGACGCGTACGCTCACGTCGTCGGCTGCGAGCTCTCTTCCGACGGCGTCGTGCCGACTGTCGAGGTGACTTTGGAACACGCCCTTGTTCAGGGCCGCGACGTCCATCTCGAGCTTCCTGTCGATCTCTTGAAGCTCCATACCGGGTGTTTGGCTTGGACCGCTCCTCTGGCCAGTACGGATGCCACACTGACTAGTACGGATGCTACGCTGGCTAGCGAGGACTGCCTTGCCGGATATGTGGCCTCTCCCAAGCATCCACACGCGCGATTGCCGTCCGCGACGCTGGAGGAAGACCGCCATTCGGGCGCAGTGGCGGTGCTCGAAATGGACGGCGACGAGTTCAAGTTCAACCCTCACGCGCCGACGTTCGTCCCTCCCTCCGTCTCCTGCCCTGATCCAGACAAGCACGACTTCCTCGCAGTACATAACTTCCCTGCTGCTGCTCCTCGAGCTAGCAACCGCAACTGTCCTACTTCTCAATCTCGATGGCCTGGACGGCGGCCCGCTCCCGCTCCTGCTCCTGTACATGCTCCATCTCGGCAGCTCCCCAGGGGGAGGACGGCCGGCGGGCCGAACGCGAAGTGGCTCCTCCTCGTTCCCCAGCACCACAATCACCATCGCCTCGGGCCTGCCATGCTCGCCTCAAGCGGTATCCGGGACCCGACGATGGAGAGATACAAGCGGATCTGCCACTGGAGGGGGACGGCGATGGCGGCGCGGCGGTGCAAGCGCGAGTCTATCGCCGCGAACGCGGATGTGGAGGCGGAGGCGGAGCGCGAGGCGGAGAGGGTCGCGCTGGAGGTGATCGCAAAGGTTGTGGACGAGGACGAGGATGGGTGCGCTTGAATGCCGTTCTGACTTTGGCTGTCGGGCCACGCGCGGGCTGGGTCACGCGTACATCTCTATCCGTGTTGACTCCAATCTGAGCAGTCTGACCCACATGTTGCGGGGAGGAGTTGAGTGCGCATCGTGAATATAACAAGTCCGCGGCGCCCTGGGAGAAGTTATTATTGGTAGGTCGCCAAGACCTACCAACAATGGTACAAGGTTGCTGACTCGCAAACCACAGTACTCGCGGCCTCTGCAGGTGTGGCCGCACTGTGTCGTGCGTTCAGCAGCTCGTCATGACCGATGGATTAGAACCAATACGAGCTGGTGCCTTGCAATGAGGGAGTTGGCTAAAACGAGGACAATGTGCCGTCGACAGAGGGCGCGGGACATAGTCAGTGTCCGCCCTGGCCCACCAGAGAGGGTCTGAAGGATCGGCACGCCGCCGGAGCGGTAGACATCGTCCCAGAATTATTCTGTCAAGAGATCCTGGCATCATCATGACATCTGAGGCTCCAGGCTTCAGGGGGGGAGTCCCGCATCCGTGGTCGTGTGGCAGCGAACAGCGCGGGGACCAGCAGCGCAGCAGCTCAATGCGGGGACAAGGTCGCACTATGGGTACGTTCGCGCTTTACTTGGAGCACAGTGTACACATGGCTGGTGCTTTCGAGTTCGCCCAACGGTCTCACCATGGATCCGGCTGTGTGGCGCAGCGGTACTTGTGCTTTATAGTCTACGTACCCCGAGTCTGTGAACGAACAATCTAGATCTCCTTGATCGGCTGATACCTTTGACAGGCTGGCGAAGTTCGGTGAGTCTCTGGCGATGATAGCAGTTGACCGTTCTGAGCGACTTGGCCAGGGTTATTGACGGCTGTGGCGGATTAGTTCACGTCCCTGAATGAAAACCACACGCTGAGGTCCGAAGAGGATCCATGCAAGCTCTTCGTTCGCACGGGATCGGTGTCAAATGATCCAATATATGCTCATCTTCCATCTTCTTGAGCTCAGAGAGACTTCTCTTTGCGTCCCAGTCGATATTCATAGGATGCTAATTCTGAACCGGCCTCGAGAAGCTTGGTATATATAGGGATGAGCAGCGAGACATGTCCGTCGGCATCCCTCCTCTCCTTCTGACCCTCCACCATCGCAATCGTTGCTACTGGGTCATGGATCGCGACGCGCAACGGGACGAAGAAAAGTCTGAGAAAGATATGAAGCAGGCTGAAGATGCTGTGGTCGATGTCCTCGTCGATGACAGTAGCCAGCGTTCGGCGCCCTCAAAGGAGGAAGAGAGACGGCTAGTGCGCAAGCTCGATCTGCGGGTGATGCCCATCTTGTGTATCATGTACCTCTTCGCCTGTAAGTTGACAACGTGCATGCCTTGCCGTCGATAGCACTATATTTGAACCTGCTACCCAAGCTCTCGACAGGACGAACCTAGGGAACGCGCGTCTACAAGGTCTCCCGGCAGACGTCCTGGGAGGAGACCCAACGGGTGTGCTATTTGACTGGGCGAATTCCGCGTTCTACTTTCCATTTGTAAATCCAGTTCTTCTCGCCTCATTCCCTGCATGAGCATAACATATGCCCCAGATAATCTGCCAAATCCCAGGCCTCGTCATCTCAAAGCTATATTCTCCCCGCATTTGGATCGGATGTGTGGCGATCGGATGGGGCATATCGTCCACGCTTATGGTACGTTACTTCCACATCCGTCCAATCTCCTACTCATTGTGGGATATAGGCCTCGGTCTTTAACTTTCCAGGCCTCCTGGTGTCTCGCCTTGCCTTGGGATTGTTCGAATCCGGGTACAGTCCCATGCTGCCTCTCTACCTATGTGCGTACTTCACGTCGCCTGCAGCTGCCCTTATCTTCACTTATATGTCATGCTTCAGCTTTTTTCTATACCAGGGAGGAGTTCGGCGTCCGCACCTCGTGGTGGTACATGTTCTCGGCCGTCGCAGGCGCGTTTGGCGGCTTGATCGCCTTCGGTGTCCAGCACATCCACGCCGCGATTGCGCAGTGGCGACTGTTGTTCATCATCGAGGGCATCCCGACGATATTGTTGGGTGTATTGGCCTTATTCGTTTTGCATGATCGACCTGAGGAAACTCCTTTGTTGACCGAACGGGAGCGCGAGATTGCTCTCGAGCGCGGTAACAGAGGGGGAAGGGCTGATGTCGGGAGGGTGATTCAAAGGAGTGAGCCTTCGAGAGTATTATTGATGTACTTGCTCATGATCCCTTCTGTCTACAGAACACATACCGATGGCGCTTAAAGACTGGAAGGTACGTCGCAGTATCTCCGATATGTACATGGATTGCTTATCTGTATATGTTCACATAGCTTTACGCCGCTGGAGCGATGCTCTTTTCGGGCAACACCGGGCTCACAAGCCTCCAAGCGTTCTTACCCACTATCATCGCAAGCTTTGACTTTGGCTGTGAGTCGGATCCTATAGAACTCACATGCGCGGACTGACATGTGCATGTAGCCGACGCTGTGGACCAGATACTTACGGTCCCGCCCTATGCGGTAGCTGTTCTAGTTCTCTGTGCCTTTGGTTACTGTTCAGATCGGCTGCAACGTCGCGGCCCCTTCATTTCTTGTGCGAGTATTATTGGAGGAATAGGATACATGTTCGTAATCCCACACTCTGTCGGGTCTGGCAGCTAATCAACAGATGTGTCTTTACTATTACAGACTACTGCTGACGGTGCATTCGAATAATCACGTGCGGTACTTCGCGACATTCTGCACCGCAACTGGCATCTTTTCGACCATCGCGTTCATCATCGGATGGTGTAAGTTCCAAGCCCGTGATTCTCATATTTGGACCGACCACAATTTTTGCAGTCAATCATAATCTTGGTTCGGAGACCAAGAGAGCAACGGGTTTGCCATTGTACATGGCCATCGGTCACTGCGGAAGTATAATGGGCTCGCACTTGTTCCCATCTAGTGAGGGACCGCTTTACTTGTGAGTCGACCATTCCACGCGGATATCAGCAGCTCAAGCGGCGTGACCGGACCATCAGGAAAGGGAACGCGGTGTGTTGCGGCCTGATGTTTTTCTGTTCCATTGTCGCCATTTCAATTTCCGTGAGTGTCCCATTGTTCCCGTCCAAAAACGTGCGCTAAGTAAACCGATGCTACAGACGTACTATATTCGGGAGAACCGACGTCGGGATGAGAAATACGGCAAACCGATCCCCGGCGCTCCAGTAGATGTCTCGGAGCTTGCAGACGAGGTACGTATTGCGCGGACTCGGCGGACTCAGTCATCGTACCCACCTTGATGTCTTCTTCTCGTTTTTACAGGCACCCAACTTCCGCTACACCCCGTAAGCTCTCCCTCAAAACCGACTGGAGTGCCCAGTCTTTAAGGGAAGAGCCCGCACCAATGTTATACAGTAGCATACATAGACCTATCCACTGATTACGGAGAATCGAAGATCGCATGGATATCAGCTCACCAATTCGTCGGCGACTAAGTCCCAGAGCTCAAGTGTCTCATCTCGAGCGTTACTCAGACCCTCCCTCTCTAAGACCGACTTCATCTCCTCGCTTCCAAGTTCCTCTACGCGCCAATGTCTGCCCAAGTCGTCACCGACCCCATCTTCAGCGGAAGTGTCGCCGCTAGCGGCGCACTGAGTCCATCCGCTCGCCAGCCTCCAGTAACCAGCGTTGAGTATGAGCCCATTGCTCGTGAAGACGATGGTTCGCAAGGACGGTACGGCGGCGACAAGGACCTCTGCAGCGCGACGCCAATGAGAACCTTCGCGGTGGCGCACGACAGTGACGAATTCAGCTGTGTAGGCAGCGTCAAAGTGGTTCGGTTGAACGAAGCACTCGATGATGACGCGGAGGTAGGCTAGATGCTGCAGCGATTTAATGACTGAGCAGATTCTATCCTGTAGAGTCCGAATGATGTATCCTTAGTATTGTTGAATCATCGCTTCTCAGAAGACACGTTACTCACCACCAGGCTGTCCCATTGCAGAGGAGCTGGAATGTCCCGTAGTCCAAGCTCGTCAAGGGAGACGCCGTCGCACCGCATGGTGAGCAGGAGATGTGTCATCGTTGTTCGCACCTCCGTAGGGAAGAGCCCGCTGGAGAGGACATCTAGTACAGGTGGCACGAGCCGGAGGTTGGTCAGCTCGAGGAACTGCGGGGGCGTGGCACGCAAAATTTCCGAGATGTAGACATCAAATTCGAGGTCGTCCCAACAATCAAGCGTTATACGGCGGATGGAGCAGCTGATGTTCAACGCAAAAAGGAGTTTGGGAGGGCAGGAGACGTGGTCAATCCGCTTCCAGCTGTTTGAGCTCGATTCCTGTGCTCTCTTGTTGCTCTGGCGTATCGTGTCCTCATTGAACGCTATGGGCGACGGGTGGAACAGGAAGAGGCTCCCACTTAGGGACGGGAACATGTGCAGGAGGGCATCGAGGCGCGGTAGACCACGGACGATAGCAATCGTAAGCGAATGTACGGAGGGGAAACGAGGCCGTGTCTCGAATTCGTGGATGTATATCTGACCCAGACCAAGCTCGAGGCTCTCCAAGGTAGCGGCGAGGTTCGACATGCTGTCAAGGTACACAGGAGAGGCAGGGTCGTAGTTGATGTTGCGGATGCGGATGGTCCGAACTGGAGATTGCATGATCCTGAGAAGCTCATGACCTCGCTGTGAATCTCCAAGGACCGCTAAGTCTTCTAGGGTAGACAAACCACCCACAACGGGAACGACCCTACTATCATCCAGGTACGAGGGGTAGAGATCGCTTAGTGATAATGTGAGGTGCTTGAGGCGAGTCGCGCTTTTGATGATTGCAATGAAAATAGTCGCGATGTCTGCGTTTGAGTCGTGGGGAATGAGGCCTCGGCGAGAGTATCTGAGCGGGGTGACTAGTCCACGTATGTGTCGTCCACGCACTTCTGGGTCGATGTAGATAAAGTCGTGGAAAGCGCGTACAATCCGTTCGTTGGTGAGGGTGACAGGGCGTAGACTCAGAAGACATTGAACTGCTTTGGGGCGGAGTGCGGAGCATGTGAGCGAGACGGCGAGTAGATCGGGGTATGTGTCCAGGAACTCGGTGATGGCCTCCAAGATGTCCTGGTGAAGCCTAACCATGCTCGACTACGTGGCATTAGCGTCTCAGTGACCAAGCTATAATACCTATATTCAGTATGTTGTGGTAGATGGGTCCTTGTGCATGCTGTTCATACCGTCAAAATGATAGGCCCCGCATCAAAATACGACCTTCATCAGGAAACCTGGGAATCCCTTAATGCCCCTTAAACTCGCCTTTAAGGGCGTTAAGACGCTTAAGATGGCTTTAAGATCATATAAGACGTAAGAATTAAGATGCTCAATTAAGACACATTAAGACGATTAAGATGGGCGAATGCGAATACGTTCTACACCGTCGTCGCGTGCACCGGCCTCTGTCACAATGTCTGTACACGCTCCAACTGGTCTCTCTTGGTCTCTCACTCTGCTCCGCTCCATCATTGACACGCTGTACGGAGTTGAGGGTGAGCAGCTCGAAGATATGGCGTGGGAGAGCTAAGTGGCTTAAGGCGCTAAGCCATTAAGCTTATGCACGGTTTACTGATGTTGGTCGGAGACTCGGAGCAAGTGATCAGATCCGGATTAAATTCGGAGCCAAGCCGGCAACCGTATTAGAGGCTTCCACGACCGCAGGTTCGAAGTTCTGACACTCCCTGATGCGCTTCAAGAGAGCCTTGTCCGGTACGACCGCAAGGTGTCCTCGTCGACTCGCCAGGATACGGAACTGTTCGGGCCGGAGCACCGTTCGAGCCAGGTTGTCTTCACCATCACCGTGCTGATAGTCCGGTCGTCTCGACAGCGCGTCCGCGCGTCCGTTAGAGACACCAGGCTTGTGGGTGATGACGAAGTCGAACCGCGATAGATACAGGGCCCATCGCGCCTGTCTGCGAGTGAGGTTCTGCGCCGTCCTCCAGTACTCGAGGTTCTTGTGGTCCGACTCAATCTCGAACTGGGAGGGGAGACCTTCGAGGTAGTGACGCCACGCTTGCAGGGCACGGATGATCGCGAGCATCTCCTTGTCATAGATCTCGTAGTTCCGTTCAGCATCGTTCATGGACTCGGAGTGGTACGCGATCGGGTGAAACTTTCCATCGTCGCCCTCTTGGGACAGGACCGC